CTGATTGCCAGGAGCAAAATACCTTATCTGGAATTACCCAATGTAAAGTTTTGAATTCATCATTCTCAGTAGGTTTTTTTTGTATTTAGGAAAGGGTATACAGAGTTTATGGGGTCTCACTACGTAGATCGGACTAGTAGTGATCCTCCTGTTTACAGCCTCCCAAGTGCTGGGATTACAGGCACGTGCCACCACGCCCAGTCTCAATTGCTATCTCAGCACATCCTGGGGGCAGGGCTGGCATGGTAGGCTCTGGAATCCAACCCCCAGCCCCTGCATCTGTCTCAGTAGTTTTGTTCTGGTTGAAATTGTTTAGGAATGGCCTTTTGGAGTCATCCACTCTATCCAGATCATGGCTTGATATTATTTTCCACATTAGTAGCACAGAAGTCAAGTCAGGCCTAGGTTAGGAGGTTTAAACCTCCTACCTGTCAAGAGATAAATATTTTTCTTTCATTTGGGGGATGGAGTACTGATACCAAGTAAGACTCTACAGTGGATTGCCCCCTGGCCCCAGTTCTCTACCATTGTGTCATTGCTGTTTGCTACACAACCTTGGGGGCCCTCTCATTCTCACTCTAAACTCACTCAAGAGACAAGTATTTAAAACACACATGTACAGTGGGCCTGCCCTTATGCTGCACATCTGCAAGCATTAGGAGAAGAGAAGGAAATGAGAAACACAGGCAGCAGTCAAGCTGCCCCACTAGCTGCGTGCCATGAGACAAAGCCTAGATCAGTAGAACCTTCCAGTTGACCACCAGCTGACTCCAGGGACAGGAGCAGTAAGTGCTTATTATTGGGCTTACTATTATACTCTGCTTAAGTCCTATGGCTGTGGGCTATTCTTTCAAAACCAAGTGATAAAAAGGCCTGTCTATCCAGGGTGAGGAAATATGCTTTTCCAATGTCCATAATAATCTGACTCAAAAAATTTCAGGAGAAGCAATTGTTTTTCCCTCAGTAGACAAAATGTCTGACACCAACAACTTAGAAGCAGAGAGGTGGATTACTATGGTCTCAAGGGAACCAGTCTGTGGTTTGATGGCTCTAAAGCAGAAACATAAGAGCACAAGGGTGCTGTGGAGCAGAGCTGTTCACTTTACGGTACCTAGGAAGCAGGGTAGAGGAACAGCAATGACAGGAAGGCGCAATGCCTACTTGTGGACCTCAAGGACTTGCATCCATGACCCACTCAGACATACCAAAGAGTACGCTGTGCTGAATCTCTAGGAAGCTCCAAAGCCAACAAAGTTGACAATTAAGCAGGGGTGGGTAGATGGCTCAGTGGAATAAGCACTTCCCTGGCAAAGCGTAAGGGCCTGAGTTCAATCCCTGATTCCACCAAAAACAAACAAAAAAGACAATTAAGCTTCGCCATCACAGAGACTATCTGTGGGCTCCAGGATTTGTACTCCCTTATATTCATAGCTTTGTGTGATCCTTTCTTCTTTAGCACAGGCAGCAGCGTCGATCTCTTTCAAACCAACCAGAATATGGCAAAGAAATGAAGTCTATCACCTTTATAAGTCCTGTAGTTATATCACATTGTATGGCAAAGGTGAAGGCAGTTTGAAGATAATATAAAGGTCATTGATTAATGACTTCGAGTTAATCAAGAGGGAGATTATTCAGTCAGTCTGACCCAATCAAGTATGTCCTTTTATGGTGAATTTGGGCTGATAGCTTTGAAATAGCAGACTCTCTCCCTTGCTGGCTTTAGAGAAGCAAGTTGCAATAAATTCTACAACCATACTGAAATGAATATTGGCAACAAACTAAGGAAGCTGGAAAGTTGTTCTTCCTTAACTGAGTTGTGAGGTGAAAATATGGCTCAGATCACACCTTGATTTCAGCCTTGTGAAATGTTAAGAAAAGGATCCGGCTCAACCATAACAAAGTTCTGACCCATAGGAACTGAAATAATAATTGGGAGTATTCTAACTGTTAAGTTTTGGGAAAATAATATTATAGCAATAGAAAATAGGTATAATTTTTCTCACATCTAATCAAAAATAATTTGAAAGCAACTTAATATTCCTGCATGGGCAAAGAACCACCATTTGGTATAATGTGCCCCCAAATATTTTGTTCTTTGAAGTCACACTATGCACACTTGTCAATAGTCAGTTTGATTTTACCATTTTGTGAATTTCATCCTTTTTACATTTGATATAACCTCAGGTTCAGTTTATCCAATATACTAGCAATATTTGCCATGCAAGGTTGAGAAAGTAATTTTTTAAATGAAAACAAAAAGGCATGAATTATTCTTCCTTCTTTTTGTTGTGTTTTCTCTCCCATATTACAGCATATACTACTGCGACTCAGTGTGCTATGATCTCTGTACCAGTTAAGTTAGGTCTCAAATTTATTAAGTAATCATGTAAAAATTACGTATACTGTGCTTCAAGTCAGTTTCCTCATGTTAATTTTATGGTATATGTGTCCAAGATCAGTGAAACATAAACTCATATAGGTAAGAAAACTTCATTCAAAAGTCATAGGTCACCTCTGCAGGGCAATGTGACAACTCCAACCCAAGTTACAGTGCAAAGAATCTTTTCCTAGCAAGTGGACCTCAAGAGATCACACTATAGATGTACTTCCCTGTATTGCGTAAGGCCAAAACTCAAGGGTATTCACTGAGGTAATGAATAAGGGCTAAAGACTGGAAACAAGCAAAATATTCATCCACAGAACTTGGGATAAATAAATTAGGAATCAATTTTAGAGTAGGATGCTAATACTGCTTTAAGAGCAAATGAAACATTCTTTATTTGTGCTGAAACAGAATGATCTCTCAGATACAATATTGTGTAAAAGAAAAGAAAAACTGAACAACAGTGTGTAGCATGGCACAAACACGAAAGATTTTAAAGAATTCGTATTTCTCCATGATGTGTTGCAGGCCTGTGGAATTGGAGAAGAGGACTCCCGGAAGGAAGGTGAAATGATGTTGAAGCATCGCTGCAGAATGTGCCTCAAAGGGCACTTCCAGTGTGCGAGCAGAGCGACAACGCTCCTAGGGACAGTGGGCAGCAGCGCGGAAGTCTTTTCAGAAGTGGCAGCTCCTTTGCATCTTTGCTCTGAGTGTTATTTAAGAGTCCTGGCTGTTTTCATCTCAGTGAATTACTGTGAATGTCCTAGTTGCTGTCCCTGTTGCTAGTCTTTCTCTTTTCCACTCTATTTGCCACTGTGCTTCTGAGTCACCTTCTAATTGTACACATTACTGCCCAGAATAACTACTAAGTTCACTGGGTAAAGTTGTGCTGCTTGGCTACCCTCTGTAACCTGTATGTTGGCTCCATATTAAAATTAAATGACTATTGTCTGAGGACTCATGCTTTTTGGAGCCAGATTGATACGGGTTTTAGTTTGGGTTCTACTTATCTCTCTTGGTTTTTCTCTGTCTCCCCTTCCTCACTGAATTCCCCACTCAGGGGGAACCTGTAAGATCTCCCAGCATGCCCTGCCACTTCATGTCTCTACAGCTTTGCTTCTGAAAACCCAGACATTTGTGCTTCCTAGCTGCTAAGTATCTCACTGGTGGACAGCTGATGAACAGTCACGTCTTTGCCAGACAATTCAGGCATTTTTCCCAAGACCTTCTTGCTCTACCTATCACTTTCATCCTTTCTCTACTTGCTATCTACTTGGCAGCTGGCCAAAGCTATTCTTGACGCAACATTTCATGACATCCCCTCTTACATTCAAAAATTGCATACACTTGGAAACTGGTAAGATTTTAATTAAAACTGCTAAGGTAGATCAATTAGGAGGATGAAGATACGAAGGTCACAGAAAGGAAGCTGAGAATAGTGACTACATGGGAGGTCAGAGGAGCCACTACTTTGTATCTGTCTTTTTCACTTTAGCCACTTAGAATTTGGTGTCCTTCTGCATCATTCTTTGAATTAATCATAAATTGAGTTTCTATTTTAAGTGTCATGTGTGTAGGACTACTTGTGCCACCAAAGAACAGTGTGAAGGAGGGAGAAAAGGTTTATACATAAAAGCATACTAAGTCGACACAAATGTATTCAAAATATCGCTTTGTGGAAAAGTGACTGCTGTTCTGCCTGTTCTAGTCTAGCCTACTTTGACACATTCTATTTCCGTTCACTAAAGAAGTTTGAGATTTGTTCTCCTGAAAAGCCATCTCCTCTGGTCCTAGGCTCTTGCTCAGCCCTATCGGAGTCACTGTGAGGTGGGGAGGAGTGCTTCTTCTGCCATCATCTCACGCTCAGCGGCTGCTATTTGAGGTCACCAAATCGGCCTTGATGCCAAACATCCAGCACTCCTCGGTGAGAGATGGGCTCTCAGGTGGGGCCAGAAATTCTTCCCATATATGGTCAGCTACTAACATTGGAAGTGGTAGTCCCAGATTACTTTTGAATGAGACCAGGCATTTAGCATTCTTTGGTTATTCATTTTATGGAATCCTTTCTTTTGCTCTGAAAATTGTAAAGTAACACTCAGAAAAGTGTATAAAACTAAATGTATAAAGTAATTACTAATGCACATCACTGCCACCCAAAAATTTATGTTGCTGTACAAATGCCCAAATATTTCTTCCCAGGGATGCCATTTTCCCTCTCATTCAAAAGGGAGCCATCACTCTGATTAATATTTATAGTTTTTCATCTAGGAGTACATTTTCAAGCAAAATAGTTTATTTTAATCTTTAAATTATGAACTGATAAATCAATGTACACTGTATATACTCTTTTGTTTCCTGCCTTTCCTTTTAACAGTTTATTTGTGAAATTCATCCATGTGGTTTATAAGAGGTCACTTATTTTCATCAGTATTTAGCCAACTATTTTTAGTAGCAGACTACAAGTGTTCTCAATTTCTTGGTCAGGAAAGACAAAGTCATTAAATATTATGTACTCTTTCCTTCCTTGTCCTCCTTTGATGTTTAAATTGAAAATGTAATCTATCTTGAAACAGCTACAGAGCTAAGTAGAGAGGTAAGTAGGCCATGAGATACTCACTAACGACGTTGGCTTGTCCAGTGAATATGGTGTACTGGAGCTCGTAGGAGACCACACTGAATTCATCATCCGAAGTCCAGTGAACGGTGATGGTGTCATATGAAGCTGTGCAGAGCTCTTCTCTTATTGTGGGAGGATTGGGAGCTGTAAGGGCAAAGAATGCTCATCAGTGGAAGAACACACACTACTGCACACCGTTTCCAAGAAGATATCTGATTGCTGAAGTAAGGCTTTCTAAATAGGTCCACCAGGAATACTGTTGTAAAGGTGGCAACCTCAAACCAGGAAATTTTAGATAGTTGGTTATTGATTATATTTCTAACAAGGAGTATAGCCAGATCCAGCCTGTATAAAATTATCTCAGTTCTTTTATGTGAATGTGTTTAAGAGATTAAGTAAACAATACTCTCTTGTGCAGGAAGCAAAACATGGGGTGGATAAAAATGATCAAAGTATGTTATGTGTATCTACAGAACTGCCAAGTGCAACCCAGGAATCTGTATAACTAATATGTACTAATAAAAAAGGTGTGGTGAGAGGAAACAAGATGAACTTTAATCGTTCCATTCACTTCAGAGTGTTGGCAAAGCTTTTCGGCAAAGGGATAGATGGTAAATATTTTAGCCAAGTATTTTTACTAGCGCAGTACAAGCAGTATCACTTTGCAGGTCAGATAGCTGCTGTTGCAGCTACTCAATCTTGCCATTGTGGCATTAAAGTACCAGTAGACAATTTGCACCCACATGAGTAGGGCTCATTCCAAAACACCTTTATTCTGTAGAGGGCTGAATTTAGCATATGAGTAAATTTTTCAACCCTCAGTCTACATGCTACCAGATATTTTTATATGTAGGTATCCAATCAGGAAGGTGCTGATACATGTTGTCTTACAGAAAGTCAGGTAAGCATTTGAAAATTTTCTTTTTTTCTTTCTTTCTTTTTTGTATTTTTTAGCGAAGGGTCTGCAGAGTGTTCAGGGTCTCACTACTAGATTGGACTCGTAGTGATCCGCCCGTTTACAGCCTCCCAAGAACTGAGGTTACAGACATGTGTCACAATGCCCAGTCTCAGCGTGCCCCGGGTGGGGGGGTAGAGGGGAGGGCACTGCAGACCCGGGGATCGAACCCCTGGCCCCTGTGCCTGCTTGCATGTGCTTTAATCTGCTGAGCTATTTTGGCAGGCTTAAAAACTTTCTTTCATTAGATTATTATTATTATTATTATTATTATTATTATTATTATTTTGTATTTCTAGGGAAGTGTTAAGGGTCTCACTACTAGATCAGACCCCTAGCGATCTGCCTGTGCACAGCCTCCTAAGAGCTGGGATTACAGGCTCGCGCCACCATCTCAACTGCAGTCTCAGCGTGCCCTGGAGGTGGGGCCAGCACAGCAGGCCTGGGAATCAAACCCTGGCCCTGTGCCCACTTGCAGGGGCTTTAATCAACTGAGCTATTTGGCCGGCCCTTCATTAGATATTTTGATACTTGTTAAAAAAGTATTAGTGCACCACCATTTTCTTCTCATTTCTCAATTTATAGATGATATTTTGTTTATTTTTTTTATAGGTGATATTTTAAATGAAGACCATGACTAAGAATCAATAAGATCTAGGAAATATACTTTTCTTCCCCAAGGAAAATATAATTCCTTGGCATTTGATTAACTTTATGACTTTTATTTCCTTAATACATTCTGGAGAAGACAATCCTAAATCACATCAAAACAAAATTTTTTAAATGTCCTCCACTTGGATCTCAGTGATTGGTCTGGTGAGGAGAGCCTGTGAACAAGAAAGCAGCCTAGGTAATGAGTGCCTTGCGCTGGCAATAATAGTTTAGAGCAGGGGTTGGCAAACTATGGCTGTTGGCCAAATCTGGCTTGCTGCCTGTTTTTGTAAATAAAGCTTTATTGGAATTCAGCCAGCCTCATTTAGTCACGTATTGTCTGTGGCTGCTTTAGCATAACAGAAGAGTTGAGTAGTTGCCGCCATATGGCCAGCAAAGTCTAACACATCTAACATCTGGCCCTTTACTGTCAAAGTTTGCCGACCTCTGGTCTAGAGAATTGATCCAGAGCTTTGCTTTCCATTCTTCTGTACACCAGAACCTAACTTCAAAGGGAGAAACATGTATGTATTTCACAGATGCGGAGCAACTTTACTTATACTACTACAGAGTTTTTTCTTGCTCTGAATTCTAATTGGAATTAATGAATCCTAAAGAAACCCAAAGAGGGGGACAAATTGTGGAAATGGTAAATTTAAAACTGTTTTAGTAATCTTCACTTTGCTGTCTGAAAATATATCTAAGATACCACAAGAACCAAGTCTGGTGTCTTAAGTCAGTGAGCTCAGCTTTGGCTACTGGCTGTTGAATTCCACAAATGTTGGTTGAGTATCCACAGTGGGGAGGTGTGTGCATTAAGCTGTGTATTGAGATAGAAGGGCCTTATCCAACCCTTAATGCATTCTTTCTGTAATATGTATTTGTATATCTGTCTGCTGAAGTATAGACATGCAAAATTTAGTATCATATCATATGACTTGTATGTGCTTGAATTGGCGACACCAATCAGGCAATGTATTCCCTGGAGGCCCGGCTGCATTGCAAGATGTGCCTATTATTGTCTGTGTGGTTCCTGTTTGTGTGGGATCACCCCGGCACAGATCAGTCAAAAAATACTTCCTTCATATCTTAAACAGGGCTTTGAATAATTTCTCCATTGACCATTATAGAAAGATTTTGTTTTTTCTGCATTGCAATTATATGATTAATGCTAAAGAAAACGTTAGTCTAAAGTAGGCAAGTAGCTACAAGACACATGGCATTAGCTGTAATCAGGAAGAAAATGTTACCTCTTCGGGTTATTAACTTGACATACCACTTAGAATCATGTCATAGGGAAAAAAAATCTTGTTTTCACAGCCCGGCAGGCTAACCCTGTTTTGCTTGTAAACCCAATGGGTTTGTCTTGAAAAGTCAATACCTAATTTACTGTAAATGAGAACAGCAGCACGCTGCCAATTTCAATACTCCTGCTATCGGTACCAGAACTGTTATTTTCTTGCCTTCATCATAAGCACCACACAAGGAATGGTGGGCTAATGCTCCACAAACATTCCATTTCCTGCTTATAAATGTCTGATAAACTATTTGGACTCGGCAGTGTCGACCATGCATCATTTGTTACGGTCAGGATTGATGTTATGTCTAGAAATAGACTGAATTTGTATCTGGGGTTGTCAGCTCAGAAGGCATAATGGCAGGTACCACACATGGCCTTTAGTTTGGGATAAAAGAGCCCCTGGCATGATCTATTGCATAGTCATATAGTTAGTGTTCACTAGTTGTATAATTTCCCTATTAATTAATTAAAACTCTTACATTTCTATAGAAATTAAAATGCTCACATATTGTTGGACTATCATTAGCAATTATTGGAAGAGGAGAAGACACATTCTTGCCAATGAGACCTCAATTTTGGGTAAACTACCCATGTGCTCAGGCAAATATTCAATTTTCTAGTCTTCTCTCATCTTGGGAAGAAAGTCACAACCTGACCCTGTCCCAGGTGACACAAGTAGAAATTTTCTAGCTGGAGTTTTTGAGAAAGATTTCCCTTTTCTGATGAACAGATTCACTACTTGTCTCCTGCCCCTGCTTTTGCCTAGAAGTTGAGTACAATGCCAAGAGGTAGTCATGCTATGCACATGTAGCAAAACAACGAAACAGCAAAGACGACCCAGCAGGAAAAGAGACAGAAGCAGGTGTCTGGGGACATCTTCCAGTCACTGTCCAGCCCTAGGAGAGCACGCCTCTATTGTTTCTGTGATCTCCTCATTGAGTCACTGTTGACTGGATTTTCTGTTGCTTGCAACCAAACTCATTCCCAAATGATGTATGAAAAATGGAGACATTTTAAACAGAATGCCATGAGGAGAAAACAGCTGAGAGAAAGTCTAGACATGCACTGTTTGACACATAATTATGACCTACACATGGCTGTTCAAATTTTCATTAAATTTAATTAGCATTAAATAAAAGTAAAAATTCACTAGCCACATTTCAATTGTCAATTGCTCCACGTGCCTGGTGGCTAATATACTGAGTAGTTAGTGCAGATACAGAACATTTTTATCATTGAAGAAGCTTCTATTAGATGGTTAAACTAACTCTCCAAGCCAGGCATGGTGGTGCATACATGTAATCTCAGCACTTGAGAAGCTGAGGCTGGAGGATCACCATGAGTTGCAGGCCAGCCTAGATTATACAGTGAGGTCAAGGGCAACCTGAACTATATAATAAGATCCTCTTCACAAAATAAAACAAAACAAAACATAAACAAATGTCAGAATTAAAAGTACAAAAAAGGAAGGCACTATATTCATACATATCTGAGGCCAAGTTTGGGATCTTACTGTAAATGATTTTTGAATGAATTACTTTACCGCTTAATAGGAGCTGTATGTTTGAAAGAGAAAACGACATGATAAATTTATGGAATGGCTCGCCTTCCTTACAAATGAAGGAAGACTAAAGTCAGCACCTTGTGTCTTCCCAAGGGAAAAGCCCTGTTCTGGTTTACTGCTCTTTGAAGGTAGAACTCCTTGCCTTCTATCCACTGGCTGCAAAAACAAATGTCACATGATGTTCCCATCTCCTGCTCCACCTTTCCTGACCACTCGCCCACAAATATACACACACAGGATGGGAGTTGAGAGGCTGATACCGAGCTCAGCTAGAGACACTGCTTCAGGGAGGCTGTGTGCTCTCAGCACAGTGCACAGCTGGCTTCACTGGATACACTTTGCTTTCCTGACTCACCATCCCAGTGGCTTTGATGAACACAAACAAGGCTGTCTCCACGGTCCCTATTCTTTCCAGCGGCCAGCATTGTTACTTTCTTCTTTAGAGGCTATGACAGCAAAGAAAAGCTTAGATGTATTGCTAAGAATGGGAGTAGACTTTTTCCACTTTCGTTAGTGTTTTCCAGTATTGACTAAAACAAGGGAGAACAAGCAGGGGCTGAAACACAGCACAAGGAGTAGCAGTGTGATTGCAGATGAAACACTGTCTTTCAGGTCTGTGTAAGACCTGAGCCCAAGCCCAACTTGCCCACTCCCTCCCTTGCTGTGTGACCCTCAGCAAGATGTCTGGCTTCCACCATGCCCCACATCAGGACTCAGTATCGTGAAGATTAAAATAAGATCACCAATAGAAAAGAAAACTGGAGCAAGGTGTATACCCACTTCATCAGTTGCCAGGTTTTCCTGCAAATGTACTGCAAGAGCCAGATGTCTTACAAATTCCAAATGAAAAGTACACACAAAACCTTTTGTATCTCTTCGATGTCCTGCAGAGCTGACGTGTTTAGCACCCCACATTGAGAGGAATGAAAATGGTAATAAGTATGCTTCTAATGATTGGGATTCTCCTTTTTTCTCCTACCCCAAGTTGAATCCTGGATAAAATCAAACAGTGCACAGAAATTGCTTATGGACCTTTGCTTTTCAAAAAATGCATTGATCTTGTGGCAAAGCATTTGTATTACTGAACGTACACAGTGTTAAGGAGAATACAAAGACAATACCTGTAAGATAATCCAGACATTCTAGTAGTTTCTTCTCTCGGGAAAAATCTAAGGCAAAGGTGTCAAATGTGTCATTGAGGTTGATTTCAGGAATTAAGACCTGAGAGGACGCAGTTGCCATGGAGACTCTGTAATTGAAACAAAACAACTTTTTAGAGATGTCAAGACGGATTTCTCCATCACTATGTGGGAATGAAAAAAAAACATGAAAAGCAATATCATTTTTAAAGGAGTGTTGTTGTTTTCACACACAGCTTTAGGAAGAATCTCCGGATGGGAGAATGCAGTAATGCAAAGCAAGTGAACACAAACTTAAAGAAGCAGGGGCACTGGGCAAAGCAACAGAACGGCTTCCCTTTGCTATTTTATTAATGGAAAAAGAATTCCCTGTGGAGGCGAAAGAATATTCATATTTCATGCTGCTGTGTATTTAACAGCCTGGCCCCATCACATCTAACCCCAGCAAGAAGCACATAGCTTCAGGCATTTCTTCACACATCTGTCTGGAAAACTGTTTGTTCCTGCAGATTCGCCCCTGCTCCACTTCAAAGGGGAGTCTCCCAAATTTCCAACTGCATAAAAGGCAAAGTGAAGATTAAAAAAGAATGTTTCCAGATATCGGATTAGTTTAATCAATTACTAGCCTCCCTCTAAAATAAACATGAAGAAAAGAGTTTTTGTCTGGCTCCTTTTCATTCTCCTCATATTCATTTTTTTCTACCATATTCCCAGCAGATGCCATAGAAAATATTCATGAGTATTCTTGCAGATTTCCCTGGGGGCTGCATGGTGTCCTCTGTGTCTCAGGCCTTCTGCTGAGAGGAAGCTAGGCACTGGAAAGGCCCGCTTTCCTTCCAGGTGCTCTAAAGTTCACGTGTATAGGTAGCAACAGCAAAACAGACTCACTGACTCAAAGGTGCAAATGATTCTCCTCAAGCCAAGAAAATCGTGCCCTCATGTATGCTCCTTCTGAGCCCATCAGACCACATGTCATCTTGCTGAGTTCTGTGTTTCGCTCTCAAGTTCCATCAACTTGAGGGCACTGGGAAGTTTTGTGCAAAGAAACAACTTCGAGATGATTTAGCTCTAAATGTAGTTACTTATTTTCGAATAAACACCATTGATGGTCATTTATACAAGGCAAGTGGGAGGATTTCAGGTCAACACACTTCCATTTAGTATAGAATATTTTTCAGTCCACTTACTCAAAGGGTGACATTCATGTTGAAATCATGCAGTGAGTCTTAAAGCTTTGGATTTTAATACAGATATTATATTTTAACTATAAAGTTATACCCATGCATATATCCACAGAGAAGACTATTATCCAGCCATGAAAAGGAATGAATTCTAACACAGGCTATACTATTGATGAATCTGTGAACATTATGCTAAAACTTACTGAGCACAAAAGACACTATACTGTGTGGTCCGCTAGTACCAAATAGACACAATAGGCAGAATCACACACTTTAAAATGTTTATTTTATTATGTGAATTTCCCTTCTATAAGAAATTACCTTTGAAATGTCTAAAATCCTCGTACATACAAAGAAATATAAATTTGTACTCCTGGAAATTTTTCCATGTTATATAAGGAGGGAACAAGATAGATTATAAATAACGACCTATGTGGAATAGTGTTGGAATCTACAGATTCTAAAGAGAAAAGAGCTCTAAAAAGAAGAGTTACACTACGTAAAGGGGGATAGAGAATCTGACTTCAGTTCTGGACTGATTCACCAAGATTTTGTTGTGTGATTTTATTGACTAATCACACCCAAAGGAATTGGGCTAATTGTTGATGCTAACAGTTTCTAATTTAGAATAATGGATATGAACATGTTTGTTAGTTCAAACTGAACTTTCAAAAAATATATTTATATGGCCAGGGATACAGCTTAGTGGCTTAAGGACCTGCCTGGAAAGTGCAAGGTCCAGAGTTCGATCCCTGGTACTGTAAAACAAAAAACAACAACAACAAACAAACAAACAAAACAAAACCTGTTTATGAGGCCCTTAAAATATGCCCCTCACTAAAAGAGCCACAAATATTTGCTTGAGTGCAGAGAAGGTTAAAGAAATGCTACGGTGTCATCTGCACGCCTCAAAACACATTTCACGGTGACAACCCCACTTACTTCTGTTTCATTCCACCCAACAGGGAGAACTGCACTAGGCTGTGTGGAGACAAGCACCCAATTCCGCATCACATTGCTGTTCTACTCACACGCAGCACAGACTGCGTGCTCAACAGGTCAGACTGCTCTGCTCACGGACAATCTGGCTCTAGTGTTTGTCCCAGTCAATGGCTGCCATAGCTGCTTTGTTGAGGCTCATCCAAATAGGTTTTGTTCCTCCAATTTTCTCATAATTCTATGGCCAATAAAGAATGCAATAAAATATGTTTGCATTGAGGGGCATGTCAAAAGTGCCTGCCTTCTTCAAGGTAGGAATGTTGTGTGGGGGCCAAGAGGATGGAGGTGCCCAGCCCAGGAGGCAAAGACTGACAGCAAGAAGCTTGGAGATTACTGTAGCTTTTAACACCTACACAGTTTTGTCTTGATGGAAGGAAAGATACTTATCTCTGGCTCTAATTTCAACTTCTTGATTGGAGTGACAGGGAAGGGGAAATCTGCCAAATTCAACATTTTAGGCTGTGTTTTTATTTCCCAATCCCTTCTTGCCCATCTTCCGGTGTTTTAGATGAATTTCCAACACCTAGCAGGGCTGTTAGCGCTACACCACTGTCCCAATTCTTTGCTTTACAACGGTTATGTGTCTCTGTGTGTGCACATTTGTGTGAATTTGTGCATCCCATACACGTGCAGATGTGTGTGTGTGTGTGTTGTGTGTGTGTGTCTTAACATATTAGAGTACATAGAGTGTGGGTCCCATCCTAATGATTCAGAGAGAGGGATACACAATGCTCCTGGTTTATATTTCTGCTTTAAGCTCTAATCTAACCTCCAGGACACATAGCTGTTAGTGACTACATAGAACAAGTTTTCCAGAAGGTGGAAGAGCTATGTGGTTCCCAGAGTTTCTGTCAAACAAGGTACATTGCCATGGTAAAACACAGTGATTGTCCTTGTGACAAAATATCTTTTACTTTGGCCAATTTGGGCTTTTCCACACATGTCTGTTCCTGGAATCTGTTGTTATCATAATACTTATTAACACTTTACAGACTATACTTCAAAACCCACACATGAGATATTCTGTAGTTCTAAGAAGTAAGTGACATCTTGCCAGAGCTCACAACTGGTGTTCTCAGCTTTATCTTCTGGAAAAGCCTAACAAATCTTCGAACTGCCTGCAATGGTAAGAAATCCAGAGCTTACCTTGGAATTGCAGAACCTCCAAGCTCTGAAAAATGAATTCTGTTCAGAGGCAATTTTGATAATTTGCTGCTGAAAGCAATTCAACTCTTAGAGTCTTTGTAAGCACTAGAGCAACTTTTCAATGCCAGATTTGGTGGACAGTTTTGCCCACCTAACAAAATGTTAGAAAGATACACATATAATCACACCGAGCACCTAGGTATTAGTGTGCTGGAGAATATAGTGTTACGTATGCAATTGACAGTCATCCAGTGAGTAGGAAGGAAGGAAGGAAATTGGCATTTGTTGCACATTTACCTTGTGACAGAAATTGGGTTAATTAATGTTTTTACTGTATTATTGCATTTCACCCTTACAGCTACATTAGATAGAAATATTCTGCCCTGTATATGGATTCATGGGCTCATTTATTCACAGTGGGAAGTTTGCAATGTGCTGGGGCTATAGCAGTGAAAATAAGATGGCCAAGAAGCCTGCCCACTTGGAACATATAAGCAAAATTAGACTCAGAAGTGTTAATGAGCAGCCTCAGTGCTATCTATAATCACCAGGCAATTAGCACATAGCTAAACCTGTTAGTTACAAAGGATATTCGTATCCTACATTGTAAAGCTTGAGGCTCTATCATCTTGGGGTTGAAAGACATTTCTGAATTGAAAACTAGTTTTCCAGTTTGGATTCAGCTTCTAGGAAAACATATCCCTTTAACTGATTCACTGATGTTGGAAAATCTCTTCTGAATCCCACATCTTAGAATTGATGCAGGATCTAAAGTTTATTCTCGGTTCCACACTTGAGGAGCATAAAGATGATCTGGAAGCCCTGTATATAGGAGAGAAAACCCAGGACAATCACAAGAGGAGACAAAGCCAGGAAATCTTATCCTAGAGAAGCATGTCAAATGACAGGGTGAGGAGCAGAGGCAGGTGAACACACAACAGCACCAAACACACAACAGGGGTCACACTGAGAAACAGAAATGCTACAGAAACTTGTGTTTCTAGAATTCCCGTGATGCTTGAGACCATTTTCTGCGGAATTTGCAGCAAAATTTCACAGTGCAGGGCTGGGGAGATGGCTTGGTGGGCTAAGTGCCTGTCTGGCAAGCGCAAGAACCCAGGATAGATTCCAAGTATCACATGCTGTACCAGTCCTGGAACCCTGAGCACTCTGTGCAGCCCACCAAAACCAGGCATGGTGGCACATGCATGTAATCCCAGCACTGGGGAGATTGAGACAGGAGGAACACTATAAGTTCAAGCTGCATAGCGAAACCCTGTACCAAAATAAATAGATAAATAAAATGTTTTTAAAATTTCACAATGCAGTTTGTTATTATGAGCCCAATTTCTGAGTAATAGTGGCCCAATAGCTTACAGAATCATACTGAAAAGAGACCATTGCATGGACTCAAACCCAGGTTTCCAAACTTCTTGTCTAAACCCAGTGTATTTCTACTACACCCCAGCTCCTGGAAAGTGAACAGCTCAGGAATTAAGCCACATGTTTGACAAATAAGAAATGGGAAGAAGGGGTTTGCAGAAGCAAAGTTAAGGACTTTCATCAGATTTTTACAGGCACTGTGTATTGAAAATCAATAGAAGCACATTCCTCACGGAAAGAGGAATGAAAGCCATGCTTCTGTCCCTGAGGAAATGGGCCTGATAGGAGGAGAGCTGCGAGGGACCACATACACCTTGCCAGGGCTGTGGGAGATCACAGGTGCCACTCATGTGCTTGTGCCGGCCTTCAGCCGAGTGTGTCCTTTCAGCAGAACTGCTGGGGGCCTCACTGTCTCTCAGCTACTAGTGCAGTTTACTCATGTGGTACTAGTGGTTTGTAGGGGTCGCTTAGGATGCAGCTCATAGAAGCCACATCATCTGGATGTCACCCCTTTCTCAAGTAGAGACACAGCCTCTTGGACTCCAGATTGGGAACCTGACCTAAGTGTGAATGCCAGCGGCCTGCTCGGTATTTACTGCCATATTAGTGCTGTTTGGAATTTTTCACTTTAGGATGAGTAATGAGCAGTCAGACACAATCCAGAGAACGATGCAAGCATTTGGCCACTCGGAACCTAGGAGTCGTGAGGAAAGAAATTGGCCTCTCTTTACAGTAGGGAGAAGAGCATTTTAAGGACATAAAAGCGATGATAGCCAGCTGTTGTGCCTGTCCTTTAGAAAAGATCTGTGTCTCATCTGCTGGAACTTTCTCATATGTAAGAAGTAACACCACAAGCTTGTTGGCTAGGAGATTAAAATGATAAAAATACTGTACACTTAAGAACAGTGAAAATGGAAATCTTAAGGCCTACCTCTAAATGTTATTTTGAGAATTATTAGCAGAGTGTCTGACACAGGCAATCACTTAATAAACGTTATTTTGCCTTTTCTTTCTTTGAAGACATTCCAGCCAGAAGATGGTGAGCATTTTTTCTCCCCGAGGCCATGGACTGGTGAAGTTGAACCTGCAGACTATTTTGTAAATGGTTTAATTGGCCCACAGCCACACCCATTTGTTTCCATATTGTCTGGCTGTTCTGGAGCTATGAAGGGAGGGTGGAATAGTTGTAATCCAGATCTTACAACCTGCAAAGCCACAAATATTTACTTTCTGATGCCTTCCAGAGCCTGTGTTCTGGGATAAAGACCATCACAAGTGAACTCTTTGGTATCTCTCATCCATAAGGTTCTATTATTGCTTTGGATAAAGGGCAGCTGCATCAAAAATCAAAACAAATGATAAGCCAAGGCCATTGGCAATTGCTCAGAGATGTCACGTATATGCCATTTTGATTGTATTCAGTTCAATTTAGGGCTTCCCTTTGGAACCACTAGAATTGCTACAAATGTTTGAATCAGTGATGAGTAATTTTTGTGCCAATCAGTTAGGTATGCTAAAGGAATATTCAACTTTGCTAGGTTTACTGCTGAGCTGGCCCTTCCTTCATGTAGAATAGACTTTAGTAAAAAGAAGGCTCTATGAGAGTGACAATTAGGCCCTTTCTCTGCTGCATTAGTCAACTCTGACATTCTCTGGGGAGGTCCAGCTTCTCAAGCACATAAAAGTAGACCTAACAGAGAACATCTGTGCCATAGCTTTTTAGATAAAGAACCTGCAATGGAAGATTCCTTTTTATATTTTATCTTTATTTTAAGTCTGTTATCAAGTATATGATGAGATCAGGTCTGAGTGTCACAATGAATACTGTTCTTGTGTCAGCGTAAGAACCCCCAAGCAGGTTAACTGCATTCTTTCTCACTGGTAGACTCACATTTCAAAGGCCTTGAACTCAAAGGCTGTTACTGTAATGGCATCAAAGAGAAAGATCTTTAGTGGCAACAAACAACTCAAGGCCTCTATGCTGCCTGGTACTCGGCCTTGAAAATGAAAACAAATGCAAGGCCACCTAATCACACTAGGCACACCAGGGACCAGGTTCCTAAGAGCTTCAAAGCAGCCTGCACTCACCTCTCAGTGATGTTCTTTGCTGTCTGTAGGAAGCGAGCATGGTCATTCTCCTTGAGGGAGTGTTCGGCTTGTGAAATGAGGGATGCCGACCGCTCAATGCATTGCTTGCAGTTTGCAATCTGCTGAGCAAGTTTGCGAAGCCTCATCACCTTGAAGAAAAGACAGGGAGACACGTGGGTAGCTGGGTGGCCTCACTTAGTGAAAATCCAGCAGGCTGGCCCCTTTGGATGTAGCCATTTTATTGTATAGAAATCATTTTTCTGTAAAAGTTCCAAAAATAAGCAAACTCAAAGATCAAATTCTGAAAAACCCAGTTATGGGACACTTGTTTTAAATATATTTTTAATCTCCTTGAAGAAGTGTTGCTAATTCATTTTCTGAGGAAATACTGAGTTACTAATTACTTCCATGTTGATGGGAAAAAAAGGTGTCGCTCAGTGGCAACTTACAAAGAGTCACCGGACCTCTTCCCTCCACTTTCCATGCAATTAACATAAGACCATTGGGGACTCTGGAATTTTCTCTATCTCAGATTTTCAGCTGTGCTATCAAGAAAATAAAACATGTGCATAGGCGCAAATTTGAGGCTTAAGTAAAAGCTAGTTTGTAAAAAGTTCTTTGTGAGTCACGCAATAAAATTGTAAGAAAAGCATTAGGTATTACTATTTCCCATACTACCTAAAACTCATGTGTTAAATTAGCAGAAAGGGAGCATTTTTCCCATTGATTAATATTTTTCCTGTTGAGCAGATGAGAGAAAGCCAAAAAAAGCACAGCTGGGCCATTTCCTCCGCTGGGAACGTCATTTCCAGGCACTTTGTGCTTGCTTGATAACTAAGAACTATTTTGATAAGCATTTCCCAGTTGGGATAAAAACGCACATTCGCTTCTCAACCTCCATTCCAATTCTTGATTCTGTCTTGCTTGAAAATGACCCTAGAGTGTAATTGACCACAACCTCTCAGGCAGGCCAAGAGGAGTCCCAGGTAACCCACTTGACCACTGCTCTAGTGTTTGAAAAGTACTGAGAGATGAAGCCCTCTGGCCAGAAGCCAAGTTAAAATTAGACTGCTAATTGGAATTGCCCTGCACCTACTGACCCCATCCACACACCCGGGGACAGGTTTTGGCTGGCTTTATGATAATTCCGAATGGAAAATAGCCTTGGGTGAAAGGGTAAGGAGGGGGCCGTCTAATCTGTCTTACAGACAAGGCTGGCTTGGGCTTCCTCCAGAATTCCTGCTAACTCCAAGAAATTCCTTCTTTCTCAAAGTCATCATTATCATCCGGACAACTCTAATCGAAGAAAAGGAAGGAAAGAGATGTCAGGACTTGAGGCCTCTCAGGAACAGCCAATTCCAAGTATGTACTGCAGCAAACAAAGGAAGTCGCTGCTGGCTTGAGAAGCAGCAGGCACCAGATTTCAGGCAAAGGTGAGATGAACTACTGAAAGGAGAGCTAGAGCAAAATACCAAAATGTTGGGACAAACAGTCTGTGATGTTGAGCCTGGGGAAAGACATACCTAATTGTAATTGTAGTAACTGTCTCCAACAGATGACCTCTGTACATTAGCTGACTAAGCTACCCCTTATTTTACCCCAAATAGAATTGAGCTTTTGGCCTCGTTATATCCATGGGCAAAGCCAAGGAAACCATCCAGTCCAATTGGGGATATTAGAACACACCCATTAGAAACTGTCAGAGGAAGGAAAAAATCCAGGAGGAAAAATAATATAGAATCCTTAGATTCCCAAGTGGATGGGGTATTTAAATTGAAGATGTTTAATACAATTGTAGAAAAAGAAAATAAGGTCAAAGTATTTTTTTAGAATAATTTCATGCTAATCAATTACGCTTGGATGTGGCTAGGAGACACCACACCGATTATGAAGGTGAGGATGAATGGGCTCCCTTTTCGTGTTTTCCTTCTCTCACAACACTGAAAATTAAAAAAGACAGAGGAGGAAAAGAAAAAAAGCCCTAAATTGAGCATTAATTGAAGTAAGACAAAACAAGAGCCTTTGGTGAAAATACCAGAATGTTCTTCAGAGAACACTGGGGCACAATTTTAATTATAGGTCAATGTACAATTCCATGTGGTGTAACCCTAGTCAGAGACTCTCAAACAGAGGGCTAAAAAAATAAAACAAATCAGCCAGGATCTTTTTGGAAGGAAAACTGTAGATGTCAGGGTATAGCCTTCAATATTCTGTAAGGAACCTAATTTGCAGAGTGGCCAGAGTTTGCACTGCCATAAGCAGTAAATGCTTTGAATGTTCAGGTGATGAATTCTTAGCGCATCCAGGCGTAACATTTAGAACACCAAGTAGCTAAGGAGAAGAGTAAGTAGTAGAGAGCAATCTTGGTAAAAAAGGCGTCTGATTTTCTAAAATGTTTTTTCACAGCCAGGTGTGTTGGAGCATACTTACAATCACAGTAATCTAGGAAGCGAAGGCAGGTGGATTACAAATTCCAGGTGCCTCGGGATTAGGGCTCAGTGTGAAGACCTTGTTTAGATCTCTAGTATGGCAAAAAAAAAAAGGTACACATGTGCATGCGTGTACGTGTGCATGAGAGTAATTGAGCACTGGGTTTTGAGATGTGTATTTCCTAGTGTAAGTTGCATTATTAAAAAGAGAAAAAGAAACAGTGCAGTGAGTGTTCCAGCCTGTTTATGTAAATGAAGGTCTATTGGCATACTGCCACTCATTCAGGTATGCAGCATGTATGGCTGCTTTTGTGTCATGACACTGGGCAGAAATGAATGGCTGCAATGGGGACTGTCTGGAGAAGTCGGACGGCTTATCAGCCTCTCACAGCAAAAGTTTGCAGACTCCCAGCTGCAGCAACTCTGGGCAAATGATTGGAGCCCCACTCTGAAACACTGTCCTACGTGCTATCGCACTTTAAGTGCTGACACACAGCACTGAATAAAACACTTCTTTTTCACTAAGCAATATTTTTATTATATTTAAAATTCCAGTAAGACAAGTATTTAAAAGAAATGCTACATGGTGACACAAAGAATTCTACATAGGCAAATCTTACTGCTGCAGGGAAGTGTTTTCCCAGCCAACTCTTAGATTTTCCTTTAAGAAGTGAGATTGTGGGGCTGGGGATATGGCTTAGTAGATTAAGTGCTTTCCTGGCAAGTGCAAGGGCCTGAGTTCAATACCCAGTTCTGCCAAAAAAAAAAAAAGTGAGATTGTCAGAATAGCTTTTGGAATTTACTCTATATTCAGCAGGGGAATATTTCATGTGCCATAATCTCCTTCTAATGGGGGGGGAGGACACAAGGCTTTGCTATCATTTCATTTGCTGTCTGTTATACCTTCCACATTCTTAAAGGCAAGCTTATTTCACTTTGTATGCTTTTTAATATATATTCACATAGGTCTGATACCAAAAGTATTGTGCCCCAACAACGAACCCTCTCCATTAAAACAAATGTCTGACCGGGACTCAGCTTCTCTTCATGGCTATGGGAAGTTCCGATGTTTAATCCATATTTATTCTCTTAAGTATTGAGGAACGGGGGTACAATGAAAGCAGCGAAGAGAGGGGATATTTTTGCTGTCCATCTGTGGCCTTCACTACAGTAAGTCGAATACTAAAGGTGCGAATTTTCAGAGATAGGAATGGACCTTGCATTTGGAACAATCATAGATGCCAACACATTGCGGAAGTAGCTCATGTGTCTGTCACACCTTGTCACAGTCGTGTTGCTCTGTGCTTTCTGTACAGTTTTCAGTCAGAGCCCAGTATGTTCAGCAGCATTATTTACAGTATTTTTGTGCATATGTGTTTGTTTTTTTATGATTTGCACTGTATGTTTTTGTCGATGGTGTATAATACTCACTTGGTTGGACTTACGAACAAATTTGACTTATGAATATTCTCCATGAATGGAACTCATTCTTAACTCGGGGACTTAACTGCATTCTACTATTTGTCTGAATGTCAAGCACACTGACTCACTTCATGAGGAGTTTCCCATCAGCTCTTGAAGGTGACATAAAACATACGTGTATCCCTTACTACTGAGTAAAACCAAAATTCCTTCCTAGGCAGTGTCCCTACCAGAAACTCCTATCTGTGCAGCTATAAAGACTGTGGAGCTCTTTCTTTCAGAGTGAGTGCAATGTCTAAGAGCAAACTACAGCATGTGTTAATATGTCACTTGTCATTTTCTGCCAACCTCTTCTGCTGCAGACTGTGTGGTGAGCGGATTTCTGCCAGGTTACCAGGGCTAGAGGCCATGGAAAGAGGCTGATGAAATTTACTTTTGCTGTCACAACTGTGCTTGCTTTTCCCTCCATCCTTCCATTTCCAAGTACTTTTCAGAGGCCCCATGGTCCCTGCCCCTGAATCTGCCTTCAGATTGCTTGGCCCCATTCTGGGCCACAGGGGCCGAACCCAGAGCGGGTCCCTGGCCAACACTTCCCCTCCCTGCCTGGCACTCAGATTTCCAGGCTTTTGCTGTTCATGTCTTCCCTCTTAGAAACATGCCAGTGACACAGAACACCCTGACCAGGGATTCAGGTCACGGTGCCCTCCAGGCTTTGAGGTCATTTAGTCCTTCCTCAAATACTAACCCAAACCAAAGCTGAACTGCACCCTCCTCTTTCCCAAGTATCATCTGCCTTCTAGTAACTGCCTTTTGAAATAGTGTCCCTGAGCAAATACCACACTTTTTTTTGGTACCAGGGATTGAATTCAGGCCTTGCACTTGCCAGGCGGGTACTTAAGCCATTGAGCTATCTCCCTGGCCAACCGAGCTACGTCCCTAGCCACATACTTTGTAAAAGTATGAACAATTTTTAACATACATACATAAAAATGAAAAAAAACCAATGTGATGTACTGTCACGTGTGTGGTACCAGCTTTACCAAATCTCAATACTTTCTTTGTACCAACTTCAGATTTTTCAAGAAGAGCTAAAATATCTATAATACAAAAGGCCCTGTGTGACCCTGCAAGATCTCATTTGTATCACTTTAGAAGTAAAGACTTTCCTGAATTCAAAGTTCTGAATTCCTAAGCATGGTGATGTACTCATGCCTAAACAATGTATGAGGTTTGGGGGTAGTTTATTGAATGTTCCACAGTTCTTCTATGTAAATCATACAACTTCTCCATATTTTGTGATTTGTCCAGATTAATATATATCACTAGAGCAATTAAGTCATTTATTTTAACCTCTGAAGATTCTCTTTATATAATATATAATTTATGTCTTATAATCAGCTTTATTGAGATATAACTAATATATAATAAAACTGCACATACTTAAAGCATACCTGTCATCACTTTCTCAATATGAAGCCATCACCACTCGTTTTATGTCTCAGTCTTTGCTTTGCTTTACAATCTCATGTTCTAGATCTTGGTCTAAAATAATACTTTCTACTCTGAGATCTTGTACACACCTTTTGTGAAAATGTTGTCTGTGTTTGATATTAAGGTCATACAGTCTGCATAAGACGAGTCTTTCATATTTGCTGAAACTGGGACCTGGTGTCATTTTTGGGGGGTTAGGGAATTTGAGTTGAGGAGATGTTCATGTAATGATTAAATAATCTGCTTATTAATTTTTACTTATTCAGGTTTTCTACTATGTATTTACTTAAGTTTCCAAATTCTTGGCAAATAATAATAATTTTGTTATGTTTAAAAAAGAACTGTAGTCTTTAGACTAGATTTTTATCCTCCCTCCATTTTCCTTTTTTTTTAAATTAATTTTATTGAGAAACAAATAGCAATAAGATGGTTTCAAAAGTGATTAGTAGGACAGTTTCAAAAATTAATACATTGCATATTGTTGTCTCTGTAGTGGTTATTCATAGTATAAGATGCAGACATATATTGTCTAAACACTATTAGTACAAATCTTTCTTCTCATTGAGTTGAGAGAAAGTAGCTCTGTATCTATCCCAATTATTTTGTATATACAGATACAAAATGGTCTTTCATTTGTGTCCCCTTTTTGTTTAGTTTTGTCAGAGATGAGTATTCCATTGGCATTTAAATATTGTAGGTGTGTGAATTCAGCAAAATAGTCCAATATAGAGAGCAAATTGGTCAAGCAACAGCTGTGACACATCCACATGGCTGACACTGACAAAGGATCTACAAAATGCAGTACAGGGTTTCAGGATAAATCCTGAGGGAATTTGACTGATCTTGGCAGATACAAAAGTTTCATTTCTTGTTATATAGGTCTTGCTTTATCTTGGTCTTGACCATCTAGCAGAAAAATATAAAAACGAGGTATAAAAAGTAAAGCCATATCAATATGCTGGCTGAGCTGTACAAGGCTCAAGTCAACAACTTCTGGCATTGCCAGTCCTATGGATAACCTACTAGTATTATGCACTACCGTTTTCCTTATTTAGGGCTAGTACAACTTTGTTTCATGAATTGCTCTTTACAAGTATGAATCCTCTTAATATGAATTGGCAAGCTTTTATAGTAAGGGCCAGAGAGCCAATATTTTAGTTTTGGGAAGCTAGACAGTGCTTCTGTCATACATATATTTCTGTCTTTTTTTTAAACAAGTTTTAAAACTAGGGAAAATTCATTCTTATTCATAATTGTTTCAGTGTTAGGCTATGAGCTCTTCATTGATGACACCTTTGTTTTCCTTATTTTTTTGGTATTTATTTATTTATTTATTTAGGTATTGGGGATCAAACTCAGGACCTTGTGCTTGCCAGGCAGGTGCTTAAGCCACTGAGCTAACTCCCTAGCCCATCTTTGTTTATTATTTTTATTCTTCTTGCACTGACTTTATTCTTTTATGCCTTCTCTAACTTTACTTAAAAACTATTGTCTCTTTTCTTCTCCTTTAAGGAACTGAATATTATCAATTTGCTTCAAATATTTTTTAGCTGCTTAGATATAGATCTTTCATTGTGGTGCATTTCTAACTTTAAAAAATTAGTTTGAAAATATGTTTTTATAAGAACATATTTTAAAGTTTCCAAATGTAAAACCTCTTATTTTTATTGAGGATAATATCTAACTAGACATAATATATGGTCACCGAGGAGGGGTTATTTGGTATTCAGTCTTTGCTAAATTTGCTGATACATCCTTTCCAACTAAGGATGTGATTATTTTTAAATGTTTCACATATAGATTTTCATTATCACTGAGTTCAAACTCAATGGACATCTGCTGCGCTTTCATGTTACTGACTCTTCTGTATCTTTCTGTACATACAGAATTTCACAGGCAGAGGCCAAAACTCAACTTCCAAATTTCTCTTGCAGCTGTTTCCTCTAAAAGTGTCTACATTTACGTTCAAAACTGCTCATTTGTTGCTTTCCATTTTTCTTATTTTCTTGCTTTCATGTTTTTACATTTTTCTCTTTCAAAATCAAAGTTAGGCCTTCATGTGTCACTTCAAACATTTTAAGACTATTTCTTTTGAGGTTTTTGAAAAGTGTTTTTTCACAAAACTAATTTCATATCTAAGGTAATGTGGTCTGCTGATTTTGTTGGCTATATTTCTAGGAATTTCAGATTCCTTTATTTGTTTTGAAATTGAGCTTAGAGTTTCAGTTTTGAAGGGAACAAGTCCTGTCTTCTCTCTTTCCCTCATCGGTTTGCCATAGCTGACAACCCTCAGCGTCCACATTTAGAAACTGATCTTATCTCTGTGTTTTGAGTCTCTTGTTTTGTGGGTTACAAGAAAGAGTATAGCACAGTACTCAACCTAACTTCTGACTTGTTCCACAGTCTTATACCTAAAGCATTTTTTGTCACAAGCTATGGCACTAACCAGAGGTTGGTAGAATAAAGTAATGCATTCTAAAGCTAGCAAAGTTTTTGAATACATTAGAGTATTTATAAAGATTATAAATTGTGTTTTAATACAATTTGCTGTTGTCATAAAAATTAAAACATATAAGCAATAGGAAAGAGACACTATTAATACATCGATTAAGGAGTATATGATACAGTGCAAGTAAGTATTTTGCCAGTATTAGGTTATATCTATCTTAATTATCCCAAGGGCATAGGAAGTACTTTATAATTTCAGTATTTAAACTCTGGTTGATTTTTAATTTATTGAATACTGTGCTAATTGCTAAGATATAGTGGTAAGTGTGAAATTATCCTACTTTGTCTTAGACAAGTGAGATAGAGTACATTGGCCATAATAGACATAATAAGCCTTCAACATGAAATAGACTAAGACAAAGGAGAGAATTATAGAAACTACAAGAAAAAAGGTGTTCACAATTGACAAAGCCACTGAAATACTGGGCTATATTTTTCTCCAGTAGAAAACACAAAATCTTCTATCATAGAAACCATACCTTCCCTTCTTTTATCTTTGTTCCAATTATTTGTCGTCTTTGCTGAATGATCTCAATCAGAAGATCACACTCCTCCGTCAATTTGGCTTCTTGACGTGATGCATTCACCTTTAGGATGAATAAAATAGGAAGTGTTAGTTTGGTCTTGGTTTTCAGCTAAATGCTATTTTAATATAGAGTAGTATGTATCTGTTAGCCCCTGAAATGTGTTTTAAATGTTAATTCTCCCTGTTATTGTGCAAGAATGGCAAATATAGGATGTATAGATCCACTTCCTATATGTATGCTTGGAAGTTATTATTTAATTATAATCCTTTCTGACAAGAATACAATATAGGAACATGGGCATATCTATTAACATCAGTTAGAAATTGATGTATGAAGTGAAATACCTTTGTAATTATTGTTTTCACATTTTGAAAATATGTGTTCAGATTTGTCATACTAAACACAAAAAGATAATAAAAAACATCCTTACTGTTTTATGGAAGACAGACTACTATCAATAACTTTGAGAGAGGGACCAGGGAGATAGCTCAGTAGAAGAAGTGCTTGCCTGGCAAGCACAAAAGTCTGAGTTCAATCCCCGGTTCCACCAAAATAATGATAATAATGATAATAATAATAACAATAATAATAAAAACTTCGAGAGAAATTTTCCAAAAGCGATGTGCAAAGCTCATATCATAGTTATTTAATACTTAATTGTAGAATCAAATTTTTATTTAATCTTTATAAAAACATCAAAAATTACAAAAAGGATGGCTTGAAATTTTTTCAGTCTTAAAAGCTAATTTAAAATTTTACTTTTGGCATACTTAAAGAGCAAGGTTCTACCATCAGAGCATCACATTCTCATGAAAAGGTGGATCATTACAGGATGGATTGCATTTGAAATTTTTAAGACCCATTGTATGCAATGGAAAGTTACAATTAGCTCATTCTTGGCAACTGGACTTGGGATCTACTTTGTATATGGTATTTGCTCCATCTCATGGCAATACTGCAATGCTTATTCACAAGCAGCAACCCAGGAATCACAGCTGTGGAAGCTGTAGGCAGCATGTACCCACGTCATTATTTTGGCACCAGTGCTGAAGTTGTAATGCTACAAACAAGGACAATGGCAGTGACTATTCAAGCATATCTCTGGAGGGAGACAAGGCCCAATTGGGAAAACTTTTGACTTGAAAGATTTTAACTGGAGTAATTTCATGCTTTATGAATGAGATAAATTGGAAGTTGTGTCAATGAGGATAACTGTCCACTGATTGTGGCTCAGAGAAATTTGTCCTCTTTCCAGATGCCCAGGAGCCCTTAGAGTTTGTTTCTTTCATCATCACGTACAACAAAAAGAGTAGTGAAAACATTGAGCAAGTGATGGTCATCAGCCATTTGGAACAAAGCATGACGTCATGTCCTACATTATGTCAGCACACAGGTATTTGCTGAATATTTGTTCAGTTAACACAGAAAGCTTTCAAAGCATTGATTGACAAGTGCAGTATACAGAACTTTTGTTAAAACTTCAAGGAAGAAAATTACTGAGCTCAATTTATCTTACTTTCATATCATCATTTCTAGTTCCCCTTGAGGTTTTCCAAATAAATTTAGCTTTCTATTGAAATGTTCCCATTGAAATTTACTCTAAATAAATTTCTTATCTTCTTTTACGACTTCAAATTGAATTTAATAACTAAGAACAACTGAGCTGTAAAGGGAAGGAATCATTTTGATAAAATGAGTGCATTTCGACGGAGGAAGTGAAATTTCTGGAACATAGCATGGACAAAGACTCTTTACTTGAACAAGCTTTAGTCAAGTGCTTTCTCCTGGGCCCATCTATGCTTATAAAACTGAATGTTAGTAAGAGCCATGCTAATTTGGTTTACCTAGGATCTTTCCCCTCCATGTCTGCTCCCTCTTAAATATCAGATCTTCGTCTTCCACCACACGCCAGGTGACGTCTGATCACCTTGGCCTGCCTTCAGTAAGAATTCTGTTGGGTTGGTTTACCCAGAATCCTCCTTACTTCTGATCTTTCCTTTAATGGGATCCATTTTATTCTCAAAATTTTTTGAATTTGAGTTACTCATGGTAGCAAAGTATTCAATTAATCACTGTAAATGAGATTCAATTTAGTTTAAATTTTGACTATTTGATTTTTAGGATGGATAGGTTAGCCTCACCAAAATAGTAAACTGATATCTACTTTTTTGAGTCAAGTATGTTCTGAGAAACATGAACCCACAATCACCATCACTTCAAAATTATAAATTCCCAGAAATTTGGGAACATGATCTGTTCATTTTAGGCCAAGTGTTTTCACTAAATCTTTTAAAGAATATGGACTGAACTCATTAAAACCAGGAATGCTCAATCTACTTTGATAAAGTTCCAAATTTTTGTTAATTCTAGAGTTATTATAGTCTTAAAAGTAAAATAAAATAAGCTAAATATTATCTTGTATTTCTGAAATTATTGCACTACAGTTAAGTTTTTCACAGATTTGCTATTTATATGTCACATATAAAGAGTAAATGGTTTGATTGGACTTCATTTCTTATATGAGTCATTAATTCATATATAGCAAGGTTTATGGGTAAGTTGCAATGTATATATGTTCAGGCGTTTCTACTCCTCAAGCTTTAGCTTTCATTTTGGATTCACATTTTTTATTTAGAGATAACTGGCACTGACAGAGTTGCTCTGAGTAAGGCCCATCTAAAAATGCAGAAAATAATCTCCAAACTTTTTTACCTCAGTCTACAGTTCCATTTTGTGTCACCAACCTAGTTTTTGGTCCCTGAACTAAAGGCCAGTGTGTATTGGAGGACTGGGGATATAGTTCCATGACCTAAGTACTGAGTTACTGAGTTCATCTCCAGGGGGAGAGAGAGAGAGAGAGAGAGAGAGAGAGAGAGAGAGAGAGAGAGAGAGAGCATTGGAGATAATTAGAGACGGTAGATGACTACTATAACCCACTTCTGGACCACATTGGAAATGGGACACTGGTTTCTTCAGAGCCCTGGATTTCTTAGAAGAAGATATGCTTAACATTGTAACCTTTCCCCATGGCAGCCTTCTCACTGCTACATTCTTTAAGCATGCTGATAAACAAATATCCTATCAGCCCCTGTACCTGAGAAACTCAGTTGTTTTTGAGAAACTCTACTTTGTCCTTACCCACATGCTCAGCCTTCCCCTTGTACAGCTTCTTTTCTCCTCTGGAAATGCCTTCTCATTTTTCCCTCAAGGATTTCTGTCATTCCTTAGAATTACCTTCATTTCTTTGCAACATACTCCCAATTCCTTGAAAGTTGGGTCAATTTCAATTTTTTCTGTAGTCATAATTTATTATCAACTCTTTTATATATGCTAACTCATTGTCTGAGGCTGTAAGTGCCATAGCCAATGTCATGCCAAGGTGAGTTCTAACTACTTTTATAAAACACTTGCAACTCTTGCTTTGAAGGTGCTGCACTCAATTTGTTATTTATTCATTCATTCAAAAATAGGCACTTGGTTCTAACAGTGTGTCAGATAGCATACAGTAGGCTAGAAGACAGATAAAGTCCCCATTATCACGGAGTTTACATATAATTATAGAAAAAAAGGAGGAACAAGTAAATAAGTAAAAATTTCAGTTCATGATGGGTGTATAGGAAAATTAAGACTCATACAGCATGCTCAAACAGCTGAGATGGGCTGATTTGCACTGGTCATAGAATTCTCTTTTTTTTAACAGTGTTTGTTTATTTTATTTTATTTTTTATTTATTTTATTTTTCCATAATTTTATTGATAAACAAATAACAATGAGACAGTTTCAAATCAAATTGGTAGGACAATTTCAATAATTAACACATTGCATACATTCTTCCTAGTGGTTAATTGCTGTACAAGATGTGGACATGATATCCTATTTACAAACACCATTAGAACAAATCACTTTATTCATTAAGAGAATGTAACTATATATCTATCCTAACCAATTTGAATACACAGATACAAAATGGACATTCATCTGTATACCCTTTTTTTGTTAAGTTCCGTTATTTGAATATTATAGGTGTGTAAACTCAGCAAAATATTCTAAAAGAGTCCAGTAGCCCATAACAGTATTGGGTCTTCCGCTTGACTGGCAATGTCAGAAATTGTTGAAAGTGAACAATGATGTAGAGTGTGCCTAAGGAGAGTCACATGGAGAGAAAACATTCTCTCAGGCTTTCACAGAGAGCACATTGGCCAAGCAATGGCCGTGACTCATCCACATGGCTGACACTGACAAACAATCCGAGGTACAGGATCTCAGGATAAATCCTGAGGGAATTTCACTGACCTTATCACACCCAAAAGATACAACTCTTGTTGCATAGGTCCTGCTTTGCCTTGGTCTTAACCATCCAGCAAAAAAGTATAAAAACGAAATATAAGAAGCAAAGCCATGCTGTTATGTTGAGCTGTAGGTTCATAGAATTCTCTGACAAGTTCTTTGAGGGATGAAAGGAAGCCAGCTTGAAAATGGGGAAAGAGCATGTTCAGGGTCTCCTGACCCTGCATTCAACAGGCTAAGTTCCTTAAAATCTCATCTAGGGGCCTGGGAAATAGCTCAGTGGAATAAGCGATTCCCTGGCAAGCGCAAGGGCCTGAGTTCAATCACCAGTTCAAAAAAAAAATTCATCCAATCCATACTTCATACTTGGTAACATTTTAAAAAATATTTATTTGTAACTCCTAAATCAATACTTGTGGCTTTTGTGCCTCTGCTTACAGATGCACAGAGTATCGGAAAATGTGAGTTGTCCTGCGCACACCCAGCTGAGGTTGAGTCAGGCGATGCTTTCTGTCTTTTGTGTTGGCTGTCCTAATGACAAGATGAGGATGACAGAGGAGTCTCCTAGTGGGGCTGCAGTCTCAACTCTGACACGTGAGTAGAGTGGCCATAGGTTACTCAATTTCTTCTTATCATCCTTTGCTCTTTTGTAAAAGAAGCATCATCTACCAATATGAGTTGGTTTTAGAATATATATGCACATATACATATTTTTTCCTAAGAGCAATAGTTCTACATTTAAAAATTCAGTGCTTATGGTGACTTTGTACAGT